CGCTTTCTCCTCGGAAATTCTAACTTCCCAGTAGGAAAAATCAAATGAAAAAGACTGCAAAAGGAATGAAGATACACAGTAAATTTAGTTCACAGTAAAGATGTTTGCTTCAGTTTAATTATCAGCTTATAAAACTACAAGGACGATGTTAAAATACAAACAGTTGAATGTTATTTATCGTGATATTTTTCAAATATGGTTATATATTGAGAAAAATGTATATTTAATTATAAAAGAGAATAAAAAAAACCTCTAAAGTATCGAAAATTGGTACCGTTAAGTACCGGTATCGATTCGTAGGTACCGGGAATTAGTACCGGATCGATTCAAATGTCAAAGGTACCCATCCCTAGACCAAATACTTATTTTCCACCCTGATTTACAAATAAATTCTTTAAAAATCCTGCCATGTGAATTCATGGATTTTTTTTCACATTCTGTCTCTCACAGTTGAAGTGTACCTATGATGTAAATTACTGACCTCTGTCATCATTTTAAGTGGGAGAACTTGCACAATCGGTGGCTGACTAAATACTTTTTTGCCCCACTGTGTATGCAAAATGTGTTCAATGAATATAGCTTATTTTGACTGCAATATTTTCTTTTTAGTTGTTTTTTCTTAACTGCTTTCTTTTGACAAGGGTACTTTGAGGGGGTTTCTGCATTTACCTACCTGTGACTGGACATGGAAAAACTAATATTCTGCACATTAAGGTAAAATGGGCTATTTAAGGCCAATTTAGTGCAGTAATTATTTTCTTATCAAAATAATCTGGGTAATCACGGCCTTGTGAAAAATACAGTCAAATACCGTAAAACCGATATAATTTTAAAAAATACAGTGATATGACATTTTTGACATACCGCCCAGGCGTAGTTGCACCTCTAACTTCTACTGTATTAGCAAATCAGCCTGTGCATCATAACGTTGCTCAAAGAGTCACATGCATGAATAAATCATCCATCCTCATTTACTGGACTGACGATTGACGGTGGGAATTTTTTTTTACAAATTGCCCAACCCTAACGGACATGGCTTATAGGATTGGCTCAAGTCCCAACATGATACCAAATTTCAGATATCTGGCTGTCAGAGGAAATAATTAGGCTTTCAATTAGCGCTGGGTGATAGAGCCTAAAATCATTATCACAATATATTGACGACTTCTCCTCGATAACGATAAATGGACGATAACTACAGGTATGCACAGAAACAAAAGTTGTCCACTAGATGGGGCTGTCACGTGTATTGTGTTGAGTCACATTTTTACGTGATTCAAGGTGGTACAGCTTCTTAAATGGACATGAATGTTGCCAACCTATACACATCTTTTTATTTTTTTATTATCAAATTTATTGACATGGGTAAAATGATCTTGATAAGAGTCAGAAATTTCAATAACAACACATTTTTTATTTATTGCCAAGCCCTACTTTCAGTCGTATCTGCGATCCGCTGCAAGTAGTTGTCACAATGCCACTGTTTAATGGTGACAACACACTGGAAATACCAGTTACATCCTGGAGCTTTTCATACAGTTTCAGTTATCCACAAATGAGTAATTGTTTTTGTCAGAGTAGTGGTTGATGAGTTAAATTGTATGTCATTTAAAAATGTCTGCTAAATGAATAAACGTTAATAGAAAATAATTTGTCAACAACAACACTGCAACAGACTAGTCCATGCATTTCTTTTTTTCTAGGAATACTAACTGCACATTAATATTTGCCACATTAATGAAGCCTAACTTATTTGTATTGCTAATGCAGTTTTGATCAGTTAGGAGGAGTGTTCATGTATTTTTATTATTATTATTTTTATTTCCCCAGTTTTAGCACCCCTTCATCAGCTCAGGTCTAGTACTATATTTACTTCTAAGTGACGGAGCACTCAAAAATCTGTTTCATCATTTAATAAAGACCCTTTTTGTTCTAGATGTCCCCATCAGAGCACCGGGCTGTCAGACACTGCAGGTGTACTTGGGGTTCCTAGAGGCTCTAAAAGTAGAACAGGAGGGAGATATTTAGGTTCTCAGGTTCCTCTCGGGTGGAACCAGCTTCTATTTTCCATCCATTAAGTAGATACTGTGTATACTTTAAAGACTCTGCTTCAGTCTTTACGTTCTGATAAAATATTTAGTAAGATATTTTTAAACAGTGTACGAGTAAAAGTTTTATTTTGTTTTGTGTACTTGCCAAATCCGATAAAGTGTATTAACATGAGTACTTCTAAATGTCATTACACTCCTTGCAAATAATTTTAAATTGTTCAATTTTCTTAGGACTTTAATAGAATTACCCTTTTGTAAAAAGCTAACAAAATCACTCTCAGGAGAATATGTTACACAAACAACAGCACATAAGGCTGCACAATATTAGGAAAACCTGTGATGTGCAACGACAGTGATTAACGCCCGGAACACACCAGATATGGAAGCACGACAATGCGCCGCGGAACAATGAGAGCTTCTAATCAGCACCCTTGTTAACCTACGCTTTCGGTCACATCAGCTGCGACGCGCCACGAAGGCTCGCGCCGTGCAGTGATTGTTTCGCCATGAGCTCTAAGATTTTCGTGAGCCGCGAGTAAGTCGCGTTAATTCTGACGGGAAGCCAAACCACACCACAAGAGGCAGGCCGGTAAATTTAACTAAATTAAGAAAATTTTCTAAATAAAACACTGTGATTGATGAATGTGATCATTTCTGTGTATCTAAACAGACTAGAGAGATCAAAACAAACAAAGACACAAACACACACTTCTATAAAATTTGGTGTTACGGTTATAGTGTTAGACGGTTCCATGATTATTTTACATGAATTGATTTCACGTTTGTATTAGCATATAGAAATCACAAACACATATCCCATGACGTTTTAATAAAGTGCACGATTACAGTTTTTAACAGTTTAGAACCCCTGAAGACATCTATTGCTCGTTCTCAGAAATTCAGCTTAGAAAAATGAATTCTTAAAATCAAAGTGACGTCTGTAATTTATAAATTACATTTTAAAACTTTTAAAATACCTTTAAAAGTGCTGAACACTCATTTAATTAATTATTTAATAGTATGTCATACTTTGGGGGTAAATAAACCACCAGTGCACTATTTTCAGGACTTAGACGTGAGCTACATTCCAGCTGAGCTTCAGACAGCAGGTTTTGGAGTCTTATTTCCAGATATTTGGAGCTCTCACCTCGGACTGGATAACAACACGACTCCGCCACTGACTTGCAATATGTTTTATCTCCACAAATAACACAAGTCTGGAGGATTTCTGCTATGTGGTGAAGTTGCTAATGTTAACGGTTGGCTTCTATTAGGTGAGACATTCTCTGCCGTTTCCTGGATGCTAAACCATCAACAGACTTCCCCGTCGTGGGTCAAGATGAGTGAGTCCATGGATGTTAAGTGACAGTGTGACATAGATCTGTCAGACCTTTCAAATACTAGTTTCACCCTGATGCAGGAGATGGGTGTAGGTGACTATTTCCATGTTCCGCCTATATGAAAAATCAAGAGTGTTTGATTATCATCGGAAATAATAATTTCAAATGTTTTTTTTCAAGTGTTCCACATCTCCACCAATGTGTTCTTTGGTTTTACAGAGCACAGTGACGGAAAATGGCAATCAAAGATGATTGGCTTCCTGTATTATTAGATCTCAGTGCTGTTTGGAACAAGAGATCCTAAAATTCAAAGGATGGTGATGAGCCACCCTAGCTACAGTCTAAAGATGCAGGAACTAATTAATTCCTCTGACGTGGTTCCTGTTTAACACGAAGACTTCTTGTCACTGGTTCTACATCAGCAATGTGTCATTTTATTGCAAATCTAGACATGTTTACTATTACAAACACACACACTGAAAAATCATCAGAGCTGACCTGCAGTCATGAAACCAGCAGATATCGTCACGAACCGACCGATGGTTGGTGTTAAAACAAAACCTGACTGGTTTAGTTATTTAACAAAGCAATTCCAACACAGGCTAAAACAGCAGTCCATCACACTGCACATATAACAGGTGAACGTAAACGGCCAGTTTATGAGCTGGGGCTCGTCAACCGGTAGCTAGTTGACGTTAGCTAATGCTTATGAGCGTGGCTAACCAGATGATCGTTGAACTAGTTACCCGGTCCTGTTACGGCAAACCTTGGGTCACCCTTTACCAGGAGACCCCGGGAACTGCCTCAGAACAGGGACAGCTTTCCGTCAAAGTTTCAGGTTGAATTCCTGCAGACTGAAGCCGTTCACAGGAAGCGCAAGATCGGCACCAGCCAGCTAGCAGCTACTGTTAGCAGCACCGATCTCACAGAACTCCATGAAAATGTTCAATTGACCTTGCCTACAATCAGTAATACACAGCAACAAAACAAGGTTTAAAACAAAGTAAATAATCCACTGACAGATTCGGCACACACACATTTAATCAAACACGAGCAGTTTGAGTGAATTTGAACTTTAAAATCACTTTTCTTTGTACCAACCGCTCTCCACCAGGAATTCTTAACCTGAGCCATGATGAGGCTTCAAATACCTACATCAAGAAAGATACGTAGTTATCTTAAAATAAAATAAAATAAACGCCCCAGACCGTCGCCGAAGCAATGTATGAAACCACCAATAACACAAAAAGTTAGAAGAGCCACTCCAATGCGAGAAATTCTTAACAGACAACAAGGCATATCTCAATCTGATATATTTTCAAGCAGTTTTGTTTGATAATCCATTAAATTGGTGACCAGGACCAATAAGCTATCGGGCGACTACACGTATAGCACTGCGCTGTGCCCCTCTCCTTTTGACGGAAACCAGCTCCATGTAACTGGGGCGAAAGCAACCTTAGAAAGCTACATTAGAGCAAGCGGCGAACTCCGGGGCCTGCGGCGGGGAGTAGCTAGCCCTCACCGCGGATTGACCGAGGCAGCCGCTGAGGCCGGCTCCGTAAATACTCGCGTCCCAGGCCATGACAACAATGTGACGCAGTGTTTCTACCTGGACAGGTTCCTGCAGCACAGTCATTCCGCTTCCAAACTCCGTCTATCCGTTCTCTCGTCCGTTTCTTTCTTCACTTCAGGCTCCAGGAGGACCTGCGGCCGAACATTTGAATACACCGACCGTTACCTGCCGAGCACAACCGAAGAATCCCGAAGAGGCTGGAAGCCAAGGGTGTCAGGTTACTGTGCCCCCTGTTGGTGAAACGAGGTACCCCGGCTGATAAATCTGGTTTGCTGCCCTATTGTGGTGATAGTTAGTAGTTTTTAATCTATAAAAAATATAGGGGAACTGGGCATGAATTGCAAAATGAAATAAATATGTGGTTCAGAGAATAAACTATAAAAAATATATCTTAAATTAACATATTTAATAAACTGTGATATGCATATTTCACATTCTTTATATGAACGTGCTTGGATTGGTAGCAGACTAAATATCACTTGATTTTAAAAACACATTCAAACTATGATTAGAAGTCCAAGATATTTAAACCAGTTTACATGTGCAGCTGTAGATGAGTAGCTGAAGTAACTATGGTTAATCTGTGTAACTACCTGTCTAGATGTTGAACCTTTAACGATACCGTTACCCCAGTGGCATGCAGGTATTCATATGCTCATCAAAATAAGTTTGCTATACCTCTCATGAAATAATTTAAAAGAAAAAAAATCCCCCATTCAGACTCAGTGAACAACTAGAGACAAATGCAACACAGCACACACTTTATTTAACATGTTTATGGTGTGACATCACTTCCTTCACAGCATTCATGATAAAATCAAACACCAGATGATCTCATCAAAACACATTCTGGAACATCAAACTGCTAAGAAGGCCCTACTCTAATTCTGGTGCATCTGATGATGTTTTAAAATGACACAATAAAAATGGGGTTGAGCTTCATGCTGAAGAAGCAGGACTACAGAGTGCAGTTTGCTTCTGGAGAGAGCCGACACTTAGCAACTGTCATGTAAGTCTCCACCTGCAAACAAAATCATAACATCATGAACGATGGCATTGCTAAACCATGTCATCCTTTTTTCTCCAGATCCTCACCTTGTGCATGTCCTTCTTGAAGCAAGCCAGCAGTTCGTAGGTTTGTCGCAGCGACTCATCAGCTCCCAGACTCTGGTAATAATTTCCGTATGGGGCCAGCTGGAAAGCTGAGGTGTCTGTAAAGATCTCTGCTGCATCCTGATTAGCCTGTTGAGAAAGTGGTCAGTTATTCTGATGATGTGTTTTCAGGACGGTGCGACAGCGTAGTCAGTCTGCATTTTCACCCTGATGAGCAACAGGATTCCTGTCTTCAGTTCGGACAGTTTTGGTGAAATTTGGCTTCTTGGGGTAGAACCTTCAGACAGAGAACGACTTGGAAACTCCCAGGATTCCACCAGACGGTAGGAGATGGACAGCAACTTCAGAACCTGGATTCAGCCAGTCAAAAGTTTGAGACACTGTGACACCACTATAATGCTCTCTGTGTTCTACTGCAGGTTCCTGAAACTGATTCAGGTTATTATTGTGTTCCTACTTGTATAAGCTACTCTCCTCTGCTGTGTCATAAAAACTCAACAGGTAAAAACACTTTAATGTGTGAAATATCTGATGAACTGAAATTATTCTGATTCTAAAATATGTTTCAGATCTCCCTTCTTGTGTTACAAGAAACCAGTTAATTCTGTTTTTTTATTTGACATCATCCCAATGGATTACAGGTTAATAAACTCCTATCTGAATCCACAGTGATGATCAGTAATGTGATCTGTCAACCAGATTATAAGCAGTGGGTTACAGATGGTCTGGGGTCACTTTTCACAGATGAAAATGCTACAAAACTTCCATCATGCAGTTTCGTAAACATTGAGATGTGATGCAGCTTCCATCTGAAACTAAGTAATTCTAATTTAAAGGCCTCCATGCAGCTGATTCTATGATATCAGACTAGTTCTGTAGTTCTGTAGGGTTTAGTGGCTGCGAGTGATGGACTGACGGAGCTGCGTTGTGTTTCATGCTTGTCAATAGGGCTGATGATGTAATCAGAGTTGCAGAAATCTTGCAGGAAGATTTTGTTGAGCTGACGCTGCTCCTCCGTCTGCAGAGAGCTCTCCTGACACACACACACACACACACACACACACACACACACACACACACACACACACACACACACACACACACACACACACACACACACACACACACACACACACACACACACACACACACAAACACATGCACATTCAGAGTTATTGAAATAATAGATTCAGTTTGCTGTTGAATCTCTGATCTGCAGAAAACTCACAAACTCGGAGAAGAGTCTTTGAGCGAGCAGGTGGAGGTGTTGGACTCTGCTGACTGCAATGGAGAACAAACGCTGGCTGTCTGTGATTGGCTGAGAGGAAACAGTCAAACACATGACTGACAGGAGGAGGAGGGCTGAAACACACACACGTGAGACAGGTGACACATTTAAGCTCACATCTGCACTTCAGATTACTGTTAATCATGCCATAACAACAGCTGCAGTAACCATGGTAACTAATACAGCAGCTAGTGTCCATTAGAGGTGAACCGATATGGGCTAGGGTTAAGGCTGCTGATATTTTGGGAGGATTTTTATGGCTGATATCTAGACACTTTCCAATGTATTTACAAGTTAAAATGTCATTAATAACATCAGTTTGTGCACACAGTTTCTGAACTTGGATCAGTTTTTGAACTCTGAATTTAACCATTTCCCGAATCTTAATCTTGCACACTGCTCTGTGTTAAAACAGAACATTTAACCACAGTTAGTTAAACAAACCAAATATTAAATATAAAAGCAGCTAAAGAAAAAGAAATGCCAGCTGGTAAAGTTTTAAAGCAACTGAGCTGTTGTTTTTCATGTAGATGTATTTCTAAATAAAATCCAGCAACGACACCGGGCTGCCCACGGATGTGCCTGAAATCAAGTCAGCTCTAATACAGAGGTTCGCTGGTCAATGCCAATATGTTTAAAAAAAGTAAATGTTGTCCTAATACATTGGTTTATCTTCAGTTCCCATGATCACACAACGACAGAAACTCCCACGACTCCCTCCTGTCTTCTAGAAGCTGTCCACGCCTTACCTCTGTCCATGGCTGGTCTGGAGTCAGCTCAGGTTTTGGCTTTATGAATTCGGCTGTTCCGTGTTGTGATGGTACTGAGGAACGTTTTGGGGTTTTATAGCTGAAACGCCGTTAAATAAATTCATCAATAGACGCACGAAACGAACAAACAGGTGAGTCCGTCTGATTAACATTAACACCTTCAAGTTAAACTCATGCAGCATTAAAAACAGAATCTGGGAAGGCGTGGAGGTTTAACCGCCAAAGACAAGTTCTCTGGAAAATATGTTCCAAATTAACGTGAAACTTCATCAACTGCACACAAAAAAATAATTTCAAAAACAGAAATGAGACAAAACTGTTTTATTTTACACATAAAGAAGAAAGTCTGGTAGCACCTTATAATAACTACATCTTATTTTGCCTTAATAACTCATGAATAAATATGCAATTAACTAGTGAGAAATAATAATTAAAAATGACTTATAGTTAATAAGCATTTAACTAATACATTAACTAATGCTTTACTTCTAATTATTAGTCACATGTATAAGCTGTTAACTCATTTTTATTCAAACTTAATAAATCACAAACATAGTATTTTGGGCAAATGATCAATACAATAATGAATGCTTTACTTCTTATGAAGTGTTACTGAGAGTTTATAAACTAAGCTAACATGGCCAGAATATAGCTTTTTACAGGGAGTCAGCGATGGTCCAACATGTCCTCCTCCCATCTCTGATCCTCTGTAACCAGACGTTCTTCAGGAAAGGGAATCTGACATTTTGACTCATTTGAATATTGACCTGGAGTTTCTGGCAATAAGGGAATAAAGTTTTAATATTTTGTAATATAATTGCAAAACAGTTTGTTTTTGGTGTGGGGAGGTTGGTTCTGCTCAGATGATTGAAGAACAACATAAAACCCGAATAATCAAGTTTCACTGAAACTCTCTAAGTCCATCCAGCCGGTCGGCCCAGAACTTTGACACCCAGGCTACAGAACCACAAACACAGCAGCAGCTCTGAATCAAACAATCTCTTGGTTCTTACGATAAAGATTTCAAACACAGTTTCAAAGTTCAAACAAAAGTTCATCTGTTACCTAACCCTAAAAAACAGCTGCTGTCTTGACCAGATGTTTTAAATTTGATCTAAAAAAACAATGGAAAGAAAACATGTAAATGTCAGAATGACTGGTCTTTTCCTCGGGGGTGTGTGAATTTATTCACTGATGTTCAGATGATCTCTCTCACATCGCACAAGTTTGAATTTATTCAACGCTGTAGGAAACTGAGATGATCAGAGACAGAAGCCCTGACCCAAAGTCACCTTCGCCCGCCAACATCACTACGACATGCTCACAAACACAACGAACGTGAACGCTTAGGTCCCCTTTCAGTCGATATACTCGGTACAACGAAGGTACCATGGGACATTGCGCCATCGTGTGGTCGGGCTGAAGACACATCTAATCACGCCTATAAAGGTAAATGAGTGTGATACTGTATGCTGGCCCCGCCCCCACCCATAAACACCCAGCGTCACTGTCATTTCTCAGTTCTCACGTTCTTCGCCTTGCTGAGAACATGTGGATCGGTAAGCTCGCTATTGAAAAGTTAGCTCAACTGCTCGCTGGTGTTGACTCTGTTACCTTCTGGCTGGTGCTCGCCCACCAAGCGCCATCTTTTCGTGGCTTTTTAACTTCCTGCCTTTTTCTTTGTTGTCTACCACTCCACTCTGTGTCTCGCCATGAACACCGTGTTGTGACCTCCTAAGCAAAAGCCTTCTTCAAGTCAATGTCCTCAGGGCTGAGGGTTCTCTCTCCACATGAAGGACCTGCATGAAGCCTGTCCTGTCTGCCTGGTAATTCTCCATGCTAGGAGAGCGCCTTCGGACCCGAAGGCGTGCAAGTTCTGTCGCCACCTCTGTCGTCCCACACAAAAGCCATGTGAAATCTCTTCTACATCTCCTGGGGGAAGCTGCGGTCTCGCAGCAGGACCCCATGCTCTCCCAGTTGGCTCCTCTGGCTTTGCCCGGTTCTGACGAGGACAGCTTTTTGATCAAAGTCCCCGATGCTAGCATTGGAAATCTAATAGATGTGGCAGACAGGCTGACCAAATCCGACCTGGAAGCTTCCCAGTTTCTCCCTCTGAATGAGGACGAGGAGGACACATTGGACATTTGTATCAACAGCCACGACCTGCTGGAAGACGAGGAAGCTCTTCCTGTGGTGGATGGTGCTTTTACTTCCGCATCCTCAACAGGAAGGGGCCCTTGACACTTCTTTTCTTTCGCTTTGCTGACGAGCCGCAGAGAAATTTGAAGCGGACTGGCCCGCTCCTCCACTGGTGCAAGAGGTCCATTTTGCTGGCTTTTGTCTTCCCACAGAACCAGCTGAGACAGCAGTAGCTCAACAGGTTAAGCGGGTTGTCCAGTAATCAGAAGGTTGCAGGTTCGATCGCGACTCCAGACAGAGAATTCTGGTGTTGTGTCCTTGGGCACGACACAACCCGCCTTGCCTGCGGGTGGTTGTCAGAGGGACCGGTGGTGCCTGTGCTCAGCAGCCTTGCCTCTGTCAGTGTGCAGCTGTGGCTACATTGTAGCTCATCACCATCAGTGTGTGAATGTGTGTGTGAACGGATGAATGATACACTGCAGTGTAAAGCGCTCTGGAGTCCTCTGACTCTGAAAGGTGCTGCACAAATGCAGGTCATTTATCATTTATAAAACTTTTTACCACCTTTCCTGGACTTTGTGGCCGAGCTTGCGTCATCTTGGGCAAAGCCACTGTCCACCTGCACCTCGGCGCTGGGCTACGGGCAGTTTGTGGACCTCGACGGTGCTGAGAAGTTGGGTTTGGTGAACCCAACTCGAGGGTTCACTCGAGGAAACTCGAGGAAACAAACCATGGTTGGTACAGGCGGTACTTTGTTGTCCCGAAAAAAGGGGGAAGGCTTTGTACCATTCTGGATCTCTGTGTTAAACAATTTGCACATGTACAGATTCAAAATGCTAATGCTCAAGCAGCTGCTAAATGCCATCAGCTCCGGGGATTGGTTTGCTATGATCAATCTCACAGATGCATCCTTCCATGTGGAGCACCTTTTCCAAGTTGTGCTGACACCTCTCAGAGAGAGAGAGGCAGCTGTGTTGTCGCCTACCTGGACGACTGGGCTCTGGTAGCAAGTTCTCCTGTGCAGGCGAAAGCTCCCACCTCCCAGGTTCTTTCTCACATTCAAGCCCTGGATTTCTCCATAAATAAGAAAAATGGTTCCCTAGTTCCGCGCCAGAGTTTCTTCTTCCTTGGACTAGAAATATGCTCTCAGTCGAACAGGGCGTCCCTCTCGGTCCACAGGACAGCTGTGCTCTGCAGCTGAATGGCTCGCTTCCGGCTGGGAGCCAAACTGACACTCTGCACAGTTTTACAGCTGTTAGGCATGATGGCTTCCTCTTTAGCCGTAATGCTTCTTGGCCTGTTAAGGATGCGGCAATTCCAGCATTGGGTCTACTCTCACCATCTTTGTCCCTCACGTCATCTTCACCAGAAGTTGACTGTCACCAGGGTCTGCATAGCGGCTCTTCTCCTGGAGAGAGAACCAGGGTTCTCCAAAAGAAGGTCTCCAAGCGCATGGTAGTGACCACAGATACTTCCCCCAGAAGCTGGGGAGCTCTGTGCAAGGGGATGGCAGTGAGGTGGTATGGTCCCCGATCCAATCAGGTTTCAACATCAACTGGAACTGTCAGCCATGCTTCTGGCTCTGAAACATTTCAGTCATTAATTGAGAGGACAGCACGTGTTAGTGCACACAGACAACACACTGGTGGTGTCATTTATAAACAAACAGGGAGGAAGACGCTATCGTCCTCTACTGAATCTGACTTATACATTGCTAAATTGGTGCAATCTTAATTTTCTGTCTCTCAGAGCAGTTTACATCCCTGGTTGCCTGAAACACAGAGCAGACTTGCCCTCGAGGGGCAGACCCCTGTCAAGGGAATGGAGACTTCACCCTGAGTTGGTGTCCTGGATCTGGCTGAGGTTCAGCGGGGCAATGGTGGATATCTTTGCGTTGAGCGAGAACACACACTGTTCCCTGTTCTTCTCCTTAACAGATCAGACTGCTGTGGGGCCACCACACAGCGTCACACTCGTTTGACTTTACAGGAGTGATTCGATGTGTCTTCAGCCGGGCCACACGAGGGTGGGATGTCCCGTAGTACCTCCATTGTACCTGGTTGTTCTCCTTCAGGGAACTGTGGTTATATGCATATCATAATTGGGGCTCAACAGGTTGAGCGGGTTGTCCAGTAATCGGAAGGTTGCATGTTCGATCCCGGGTCTGGACAGAGAATTCTGCCGTTGTGTCCTTGGGCAAGACACTTAACCCCCCTTGCCTGCTGGTGGTGGTCGGAGGGACCGGTGGCGCATGTGCTCAGCAGCCTCGCCTCTGTCAGTGCGCCCCAGGGCAGCTGTGGCTACATCATAGCTCATCACCATCAGTGTGTGAATGGATGAATGATACACTGTAGTGTAAAGTGCTTTGGAGTCCTTACTCTGAGAGGCGCTATACAAGTGCGGGTCATTTATCATTTATAATGTTTCATCAAATTATCAGGCTGAATTTGTAGCTAAAACCAACAAAACTGAACATAATATGAACAAAAGATTTTTTACTTTTGCTGAAGTTATCTCACTGACTAACAAAGGATCACTATTTTAATGGTTTATCCACCTGTCGATCTCACGCTCCATCTTTCTCTCACTCGTGAACAAGACCCCAAGTTACTTAAACTTCTCCACTTGGGGCAGGACCTCATCCCTGACCTGGAGAAGGCATTTTACCCTTTTCCGAATCAAGACCATGGTCTCAGATTTAGAGGAGCTGTTCCCTTCATTAAAATCTAAATTGATTTGTAATTTATTTGAAGTACGTTTTTTTAAAATGATGGTTCTGTCTCTCACTGTTCAAATAAACTTACCAATGGTTTTAAAAGCGACCAGTTACTGTTTTAGTCTGTAGGAGAAAACCATTGCATGTACGGGGAAAACATGCTAACTCTATGTCAGGGGTCGGCAACCTGTTCCCATCAAAGAGCCATTATTACCCGTTTCCCACAGTAAAGAAAGCACTGGGAGCCACAGCAGCCGCTGCGTTGTGGGCGGGGCCTACCCTCAGACATCTGAGAGCTGCTTTAACCAATCACAACAGGTGACAGCAGCCAGTACCGGTCGCTCGTGTACGTCAAAGTTATCTTTCATAAGACGATAACCAATAAAAGGATATAAAATATAAAATGGATCCAGAAGTTGTAGCCCGTCTCTGCCTACAATATTTTGATATTTTTCACCCTGTTGGTGGTTTTACTGAGCAGGTGCCACTTTTGTCATACGTTTCTTTTTAAAACATGTTTAGACTGTTCAGAATACAAATCCAGGCTCTGTCACGTTTGATTGTTGTAATTAAACTTTGTAGGTGGGGAAGGTCAGAAAAGGATCCGATCATTTTGTTTTTCCCTCATTTACAGCGACAGAGATAACGGTGCAGTGCGCCTGGCTCTGGTGTTAATCATGTTAAATTATATCTCTTTGCAACAATTTTCACAAGAAAACAGAACAGTTAAAAGCAGGGCTTGTGTTGACCGGACAGATCCCGTATTTGGCCGTTTATTTTGACGGAGAAAGAATAGAAAGAATTACCCCGACGCAAGCAGACGAACTGACACTTTATACGTTATGCACATCGCAGATGTAGCTAGGGTTGTCACGGTATGAAAATTTAACCTCACGGTTATTGTGACCAAAATTATCACGGTTTTCGGTATTATCGCGGTATTTTTTAAACGGTGTTGCATATGTTCAGAAAGCATTGATAGTCCTGTTCTACACAAACTGAAATAGGTTTGAAAAGGTTTAATATTGTTTATTAAACCTAAAATAACACAAAGCCTTAGCAAAAGTGCAACTTTTCACAAGTAAAGGAACAAATAGCTTCTTTTTCTGGAACATGTTACAGTAGTCAGTGCAGGTTTAAATTATACAAATCCAAACATTCAAACCATAAACAATATGTAAACAAATCAAAGAAACACCACTTGTTTTCTCATATACTTGTTTTCTTCATTATCAAAATGAAAATCTAAAACTCCAGTCCACACTTGACTTGAGCACTGTACAAGTCATCCTTAAAAAATATGTATTTAAAATAAATATCCACTTTAAACAAATTACTAAAATAACTACTACACTACGTAATCAAATCCAAATGTTCAAGTATAAATGGCATTGAATAAGTAAACAAATCAATGACAAGGAACTAATTGTATATTTCTCTTCATCATCAACAAATAAGATGCTTCATCCAGCAACAGGGTGTCCGTGACACGGTTTAAATGCTGGCAGAGGGCGCTGCGGCTGCAGTATATAGTGACTCGTTGCATTCTCCCTCAGCCAAAAGTCCTCGCGTCATGCATTTAAGCTAAAATGCTAATGTTAACTTACCTTGCACTGGCTGTAGAGACGTGGGTGATGGTCACGCAGATGTGCCATTAGATTCGAAGTGTTGCTGCCTTTTGCAGACACTTGTTTCCTGCACGTTCTGCAAACGGGATAGCAGTCTTCTATTAACTGTCCCTCAGCGTTTTTCAGAAATCCCAAATATGCCCATACTTCCGAGTTAATCTTCTTTGAGGGCTGATGGATGTCCTGGGCGCTGCCGTCTCCTCCTTCGGCCATTATTTCAGCTTCAAAGTTTTGGTGCCGTTGCAAACAAAAAAGTGCGTGTGCGCGCCGCGGGAACTTCAGCTGAAGCGACGGTGGCTGGTAAGGGTCACCGCGCTGAAACCGCGTCCACGGTAAACCCACCGAGATAATTTAGTTTTTTAAAAACTGGACGGTTATTTTTATTGTCAACTTTTTTACCGGGGTTTACCGCTATACCGGTTACCGTGACAACCCTAGATGTAGCTAAATCATTCAAGAAAAGATTCCCATCTGAACATCTGAGCTGGACACTACTCAGCGCAGTTCACTGTCAGCGTGCACTACATAAGGTCCACAGCGAGCTGAAGATGTGGAGAGGGGCTTGGAGCGCGTTGCAGAACCAGAGCGCATGCGGGAAGATTCCTCCGACTGAAGAGAGACTTGTCACTTAGAAAATGTTCCCTGATTATGAAACTTTGGCTGAATAGCGCTTGTTCCTGTCTCCAATGTGGCGACACATCCAGGAGCCGTCTGAGGAGAAGCCCAGAATCTCACATCCTCTTCAGCTCAGAATGCGCCGATATGATTACACACAATCGTGACGCATCAACCCGGTCTCACAGTAAGACCGGGTTGGGCCTGTTCAGGTTTACGCAGACAATCTTTACATTTAGAATTGGCATACAGATGTAAAATTAATGCAGTAAAACATAAAGCATTTTATTTAAATATCCATTCATTATTTTACAAGCACAGAGAGCCGCATCAGATGGATGGAAGAGCCGCATGCGGCTCCAGAGCCGCGGATTGCCGACCCATGCTGTATGTGAAAAGGCTGGTGCTGAAATTTACACCCTAAAACGTATTTGAGGAACCAATATTACCACTAACTAATTACTCTGCAACTCTATGTCCAGTTTTGTTCTAGCATCCACTTCCGGGTTCCATTTGGCTGTTTCCATTGAAGCTGGTGTGTCTGTTATGACTGTGTTACCCGTGTGTGTGTCATGTTTTTGCTCTGAGTGCTGTGTGTCGTGTTCAGATGGATCATGGTTGTTTTAAATAAATGTTTGTGGAGCTCTGTGCCATCTGTTGTATATGGACAGAGACTGTGTGCAGAACCAGTTGTTTTATTAATGATTTGTATGTAACAGTGGCTGTGTGGCCATCATCTCAGTGTAAATATTAAAACTAACTGAAACTCATTCTCCCATCTCCATGGTGATGCTGACACACTGAGCAGCAGACCAGTGCAGGTAAAAATGTGTCCTACAGTCCTAATGTGCAAACATAATGGAAACTTTTAGGAACAAAACAAATTTTCAGTTATTCTAAAAGCTGCAAGTTTTCATTAAATCCAGCTGTTCCCAGGCTGCTGCACATGTGCTGAGCTGGCTCCACAGTCCCCAGAGCTTTCAGCATAAAGGACAAATCTCATCCAACCCCGCTGTCCTCCACTTTATCAGGTCTGCCAGGCTAGTGCCTGGTTGAGCCTCTTTTCTCTTTCAGAATGACTTCAGTGCTTTTGGGCAGACATTTAGTAGATAGAAGACAATCTTTATTATCATTGTACGACATTAATACATAGCACGTAAATTAGTGGAACATCTCTCTTACTGCACATTATAAACCAAGTATGATAAACAGTAAGTTAAAAATAACACTCAAAACTGTACACGGATATGCAGGTGTTCACTAGCAGCCCAGTAATATGACATACGAGGTCTAGTGAATACACCAGTCTAATCATCCCCGATACCTCTATTGCATTTGGGTGGTGCTCCTTTCACTTTCAGCATCATAGTACTGAAACTTTTTACAAAGTACCATCAGACTCACAACTTTAGACTATAAGAAACAAAAACACTGCAGGTGTAAACAGTCACCTGTTTATCACCTGAGGAGATGCTTGTTTTTGTTCAGGGTTAGTTGGTTTGAACATGCTCTGCTCTGATTGGCTGTTACCACGCCAGATAAGCAAACCTTTATGGATAGATGGATAATAAGAGACAAAAACAATACAAAACAACAAAAAAAAAAAGGTTGTTTAATGGACATTCTCTGGAATACAGAAGCAAACTAAAGAAATTATTTTAATATCAGTTGTTGGAGAAACAATTTGGCAAATCCAGACAATTTTCCACAGTAACCAATGAGCTCATGGTTCTTTTTTCAAACATTTTTTCATTTTTCTTCTGCTCTAATCCATAGTGTGCTGGGAATATTACATGTTATTAAATCTTTTTTAAAAACTTCAAAGAGATTATTGTGAATTAGGATGATTAAAATAAATGTTAGTGATTACATTTGATCATTAAAATATTTGAGATAGATAGATAGATAGATAGATAGATAGATAGATAGATAGATAGATAGATAGATAGATAGATAGATAGATAGATAGATAGATAGATAGATAGATATAGTTTTAAAAGGTTTTGTTTTGTAGAAAAGCTTTCTGACATTTGCTCAAAGTAATCAACATTTGGAATCCATGTGAACCCAACTCTTCATTCACGTCACTATGACTGGCCCTTCTTTTTTTTCAGTCCTTTAAATGAAGACTGTTAAAAATCTGAAAATCAAACCCATCTAACAAACCAGAAAATCATTTTTAACAGGAAAAAGAAGTTGAGTCAAACACTGAGTCAACTGAAACAACTTTAAGAGATAAAACTTTCCTGTGGTGTTTTTGTGGTGGCAGCATTTAAAACATGTTGGTGAGAAGAGTCTGAATCCCCTGACTTCTAACCTTAACCCCAACCCAACATTCAAAGATTACACCTAAAACAATGATCCGAGTTCGCAGGAACTCAGACTTGTTGATGTTGAATCAGATGTGAGCAAAGATCCACTGGAGGATTAAAACCTAAACATCTCAGCACAGATAGAGCGTAAACACTCAGTGATGAAACTGAAAGAAGAAGAAAAAGCTGAGTTCAGGAGCTGGAAACAGTTGCGTTCAGGAGTCTGCTGCTCCTTTGACCTGAATCTATTCACCTCTCCACCTGTCATCACACTATTGACTCCTTCAGGCTCTCATCTTGTGGAACATCCTGGTCATTAGGAGAAGGAGCAGAATGAAGGAGAACCTCCCTTTGAAGCTCCACATGGACAGCATTATCCTCATCTGAAACATTCTTCTCGTCTCCATACAGCTGATTGATACGTTTACATAGAAGTCCTTCTGTCTCTGGTGGGGCTAACTTATCACACTGTCCCTCTGTCTTCTCCTTGAACTTGTAGGATGCCAGTTTGACCGTCCTCTGCAGGAGATGCTTCCTAAAGGCTCTCTGGATTTTTGTTGCTGCTACCTCTTCCTGTTTCCTCCGCAGAGTGCTACTGATTGGTTCATACGCCACCTGAAAAGAAACATTTAAATTTAGATAATTTACATGACAGGGCTCATTTCCTGACATCTGGACATCTCGCCTCAGATTGACCGACAGCAACACGCCTCTACCACTGACTGTTTACTTAAAGGCGTTGATATTTTTTCATGTTGGGAAGTTGCTAATGCTATTGATTAGCTAGCCCTTCTGGATGCTAAATCGACAACAGCCTTCCCCGTCATTAGCCAAGATGGGTGAGTTCATGAATGCTGATTTTCATTGTGACATATATCTGACTGGCTGTTCAAACCTGAGTGTTTAACAACAGTAGAGGACTGTTTTCATGTACAGCCTGCATGTAAAACTCTGTGACCAACCACATTTAAAAAACAATAAGTAAAAAAATTCTCAATTCTTAAAATATCAAAAAAATGATGAGAACAAAACCTGAGTATTGTTAGCCATAAATTTCTCCTCCATGCTGGCCCTTAAAGTGTCCATCGCCTCTGAGTCGCCCAAAACCTGGTAATATACCATAATACAACACATTATGGTACAATTTAATACATGTATTATAATAAAATATAGCACATTATTGTACAATAGTGTTTTTACTGATATTACCTCTGCAGTGAGCGCTAGCAGGATGTCCAAACAATACAGTTTGTCTCCAGGAACCAGAGGTAGATCCATCTGGATCAGTTTGACGGTGTTGGGTTTGGGAATCCTCAGAGGTTCCTGCAGAGCATCACAGAAGTCTGACAGCTTCCTATAAAACACGTCAGATTCAAATTAGGTTCAGTAGTTGAACAGGAAGCCTCAGCCTGCAAGTGAACCACCAGGTAAGACTCACCCGTAGTGTATAAACTGAGAGGCGTCTGGGTCAAATTTCTGCCAGGTTTCATAGAACATGTCAAAATCTTCATCAGACAGTGGGTCCGCACTCTCCTCTGTGGCCACGTTAAAGTTCTCCAATATGATGGCAATGTACATGTTGACCACCACAAGGAAAGACATGATGATGTAGGAAGTGAAGAAAATGATGCCTATTGCTGGGTTGCCACAGTTGCCTCTGACAAGGGATCCGGGGTTCTCCAGGTCTGGATCACAGTCTGGTGGACTGTTCAAAATGGGTAACAGCAAACCATCCCATCCAGCTGACGTAGTAATCGTGAACAGACATATCATACTGTTCCCAAAGTTCTCAAAATTGAACATGTCATCCATCATGCCTTCCTTCTTCACATAGGCAAAGTTAGACATTCCAAAGATAGAGAAGATGAACATGATGAGGAATAGTAGGAGGCCAATGTTGAAGAGGGCTGGAAGTGACATCAGCAAGGCAAATAACAGTGTCCGGATTCCCTTGGCTCCACGAATGAGACGAAGAATTCGACCAATGCGAGCCAATCGGATCACGCGGAAAAGAGTTGGCGAAACAAAATACTTCTCAATGAGATCAGAGAGAAACATACCTGTAGAGAGGAAGGAAGGAAGGAAGGAAGGAAGGAAGGGGGTGGATGGAAGAAAGGAAATGAGAGACAGAGGGAAGGGAGAAAAGAAGAAAGAAAAGTGAAGGGAGGGTAAGCAGAGTGAGAGAAAAAAGGAAGCAAGAATAAAATGGAGGGTTATGGTTGGAGAGAACAATGTTTGTGATGCTGAGGAGGAAGTAGTTTTTCTGTGAGAAAACCCAAACATTTGTTTAAACTCTGAAACCTGCTCACCAAGAATGGACAGGATGACCACCACAAAGTCAAAGATGTTCCAGCCAATGCCAAAGTAGTAGTGCCGGAGCGCGATGAGCTTCAGAATGCACTCAGCTGTGAAGACGACAATGAAGACAAAGTTGATCCAGAACAAGATGAACTCCATCTCCTCACTCTGCTCATCAGATTCCACCATCATCGTAGCCATGTTGAGGCAGATTAGCACCATGATGAAGATGTCAAAAAACTGCTTGTTGACCAGGTCAAAGACCAATCCCTGAAACTTGTTCTGGACAAACAGAAACAGAAAAGCCGGACCACGTTAGTGCCTGAATCTAGTTCTACCTCTCATTGCAGTCTGGATTTGATAAAGTATGGACGGACGTCGGAGCCGACCTCAGGTCGAGGAATTGGTTTCTGAGGTTTCTTGGAGCCCAGTTTTTTCATTGCATTGTAGTATTTTTTCTGCTCTTCAGTCATGAAGAGATCTTTCCCTCCAAGGTAAATACAGACACACACAAAATTAACTGGCAGTTAAAGAAATAATCCATTGTCAGATTTTCTGGTTCCTTCAGAGAGAAGACGCTTATCTTTGATTTCTGCTGGTTGAAGTTGTCGATGATGACTCCAATGAAGAGGTTGAGGGTGAAAAATGAGCCAAAGATGATGAAGCAAACAAAGTACAAGTACATGTAGAGGTTGTCTTCATACACTGGTTGGGACTCCACCTACACTCCAGTGTGGTAACCATAGTAATGAGAGACAAACCAGCATCAATTTATGTGTAATGACTTTCTGTTGTAGCAAGATATTGATTAAATCGTACCATCTTCATCACCATAAGGTTCTGTCCCACTAAAGTATCATTACCATTACAAGTAAGAGTATCAGTACCAGGAAGAGTACCAGTAACATCATCAGTATAAGTATTTCTGACCTCTCTGGAGTCCACGGCTGCATACATAATATCCATCCAGCCTTTAAATGTGGCCTGAAGAAAACAAAAACATTTGTTTAATGCAGCTGGATAAAGTCCCACAACTGTTAGCTGGCCAGAAACCAGTACAAAGTCATGTGATATTAATGAAACCAGTGTGAATCATATGTCACAGTTCAGACTGACCACTTGCAGCAGAGACAGGTAACCCATCCCCACGTTATCAAAGTTGATCTTGAGGTTTTTCCAGCGGACTTCTGTGAAGTTTGCCTCAATCAACTCAAAGCACTGAGTCTTATTGTTGACTTGGTCAAAATGGAAGTACTCCTCTGATGTCTCGTTGAAACAGTAATAAAACTTCCCTGCAAACAGGTTCACACCCATGATGCTGAAGATCAGCCAGAAGATCAAACACACCAGCATGACGTTGAAGATAGAGGGAATGGCTCCAACCAGTGCATTAACCACAACCTGTAGATCCAAAAGAGCAGCAACCAATCAAAAATAAGCACCTGAGCATGTTGGTAAGAAGAGGCTAAGTTACTATTAAATGACTTTATTGAGTTGGATGTGAGATAGAAGGTTTAGGGTCAAACTGGCCTGACTACAAATTGTAATTTTGATTACAATGAAATTTCAGCCGAACGAACTTGGTTTAACAAAGAGGTTTTAAAATTTTATTTTGGTTTGTCATTATGCACATAGTTTTTTTGTAAAAGTCCAAGATTAATTTTGTGTTTTCAGCCTCTTAGAGAACTGTCATGTTCTGTGTCCTTGTGGTCCCCAGCCCCCCTCCAGGTTTCCCTCCAGGTTCCCCTCATGTGTCCCCAAGCCTCCAGTGTCCCTTCTTGTCCCCAGCTCCCTCCTGGTTTCCCTCATGTTCCCCCCTAGCGTTTCTGTATCCTTTTGGTTCCCCAGCCCCTCTAGGTTTTCCCCTAGACACTCTGTAGTTTTCTATAGGTTCAGGTTTTTCATTTTATTAGTCTCCTTTAGTGTGTATGTTTCCCTTCCCCACTTGTTTATTAGTCTCCCTCACTCCTCAGGTCATTAGTTATTTATCTTTGGTTCTCTTGTGCCCTTAGTCTTTTCAGTTTAGTTATTTAGAGATTCACAGGTAATTGGTTTATCCCCTCCTCTGCTTGGTTTTCCCTTCCCATTTAGTTAATTAATCTCACCAGTCTCTCCTTGGTTCTCTCTCCCCATGCACCTGCTCCTCGTCTCCCAATCACCCAGCCCCTGTGTATATAACCCTGTCTGTGTTTTTGACGGAGAGGAGCCGCTGGGAGCCTCATGTTGGAGACAAACAAACTGGATATAAGCTGGGGACTTGAAAAAGCTGACGGCTGCAGTTGGAAGTAATCCTTGAATTAATGGTGGTTGGCCAGTTGGAGAAGGGAGCATTCCTAGGCATAAGGTTGGGTTGTGAGTTGCTGGATAAATGGAGGAGGGAATTAATGAATCAGAAAGTGACACGTGTAGCAAAAAACACGGCTTTTGGAGATTTTAAAGCACAGAGTTTTGGGTTAAATCAATTCAAATATTGTTTAAATGTGACAGATTCATCGGTTCCCCCATGGATGTTTTCTGTTCCAGATGTAGATCTATCCTTACAGCAGATTCCGAGGAGTAAAGTTAGGTTTAATTCTGAGTGGTTCATGGTACAAGAATTATTAGATAAATACAAGGATAGTTTGGTTTTATATACAGATGGATCTAAAGATCCTTGTAGCGGAAGGACGAGTGCTGCAGTGAATATTCCAAGGTGGAAGATTCAGATTAGAAAGATGTTGTCAGATTATCTTGCAGTGTATACTGCTGAATTAGTTGCAATTATACTTGAACTGAATTGGATGAATGAAAATGATGCAAAATGTATGGAGAAAATGACCATAGTTTCTGATAGTCAAGCAGTGCTACTCCGTATTGAAACAGGAAATTCATGTAGGAAAGACCTGTTGAATAACGTTTATCTCCTTCTGTTGCAGTTAATGAACAAAAACATAAAGGTTATATTTATTTGGATTCCTGCCCATGTAGGTGTGGAAGTTAATGAAGAAGCTGATATTTTGGCCAAACAAGCACTAAGATCAGAAGAGATAAATATACATATCCCAGTTAGTTGAGCAGAAGGGAAATCATACATATATTTAAACGTTTTACAACTGTGGCAGGACTGTTGGGATATTCGTGATACTGGGAGACATTTGTATAATACTCAAAATAGGGTTGCATATAAGATAATTATTGAGGGAAATCATAGACAAGAATCGGTTTTGTCTAGATTGAGGATAGACCATACAGGTTTAAATTATTCACTTAAGAAAATTGGAAAACATTAGTCGGGTTTGTGTGATTATTGTGGAAACAAGAAACTGTGAAACAGGTTTTATAGAATGTCAGCAATATGTGGAGCAGAGAATTGGACTTAAGTTAATCATGGATAAGGAGAACAAAGTGTTATCACTTTGTACCCTTTTGGGAGACTCAAGCATATTAATTAGGAAAGTGTTGATGCAATATTTGATGGGTACTAAACAATTTTTTCAAATTTAAAAGTATTGATTAATTTGCTGAAATTAATAGGTTAGTGTTGTTCAATGTAAAGTTTCCTCTGATCATTTTGTTGATGAGTATTACTCCAGTTTGGGCGGTAATGCCCCGGAACTGGTGGCCAACTGCCAATAATTTCAACAGAAGAAGTGTTTTTGTCGGTCCGTTGTCGTATGTCAGCGTTGTTTTGTCCCTCCACTAGGTCTCTAGCTTTGTGCTCTATAAAGGGAGCTTTTGGTTTATTTGGCTTCCTGCCCTTTTTGGATTTTTGGATTATCGTCCTAAATAAAGGATTTTACTTTTGCACAACCGCTCCTGCCTCGTGTTGTTCTGGTGCCTGCATCTTGGGTCCTAACCCCCTCCCATTCTCAACGTGACAAGAACTTTGGCTGGAAATGTTTGAAAAGGTTTTGGATCACCTAGCTGTTGGAGAAACTGGTTTCATTTGTTTCAGGCTTGGTGCATCCTTAATTCACAACTGGTATGTTTATAGAGTATATTAACTCACTGGTGTGTACACACACACACACACACACACAAACAACTTTCTTACCTTCATCCCCTCAAAGCGAGACAGGGCCCTCAGGGGCCTCAGAGCTCTCAGTGTCCTCAGAGATTTGATGGCTCCCAGCTCAGAGTAACCCAGGATGTTTGCTGTCAGTGACACCAGGGACACCTTCAAAAGAAGAGGTGAGTTTAGATGTGAGCACATTCGGTAGGTGTGCCTCTGAAACAGCCTGAGTAGTGAGCTGCAGAGCCCTCTGTTGGAAGATGCTCCACTGCAGATACATTTAATCAAACAATACCACCATGCATCCCTTATAGATGTCATCATTAGCTATTTAAAATAGTCTGGTACATTTTCATTATACTAAATGCATTTAAACTTGTTTTGCTTTTTTAAAATGAGAGTCACAACACAAGAACCACTGTAATCAACAGGAAAGTAAGGCAGAAACTGAGCAGTTCCTTACATCAACAATGAGGAAGTCCAGCCAGCACCAGGCATTTGTGAAGTAGACCTTGAATCCATAGGCGGCCCACTTCAGAAGCATCTCCACTACAAACACATAGGTGAACACCTGATCTGCATACTCCAGAATGACCTTGATAACCTGACGTTGCTCCATGTAGATGTCCTCAAATGCCTGTTAATATAATGATTGAAGTTACCAGCTGGACAGGTGTGCACAGTCAGCACCATCAGGCTTTTAATGTGTATCAACTGCAGGCCGTCTTTAAAATAAACATTCCAATTCTTGTCCCAACAATATTTCTCTGTTCAGATAGACAGGGGTTTCAGGTCTTAATCTGGTGTGTGTGTGTGTGTGTGTGTGTGTGTGTGTGTGTGTGTGTGTGTGTGTGTGTGTGTGTGTGTGTGTGTGTGTGTGTGTGTGTGTGTGTGACTATGATATGTTCCTGAATCCCATAAGAGAGCGGGACATGGGTTGAATTAATCAGACATGAAGGTAAAACAGGAAGTAGTTTTTGGAGCTCATAAGGCCAATTTTCTCTGTTTTCTGTTTACCAAAAATAATGGAGAGGCTAGTTCTCACCTGTGTATGATTAGCAGTCATGTTAGTAGTCACAGTGTCAGCCATGTTTGTAGTCGACTAACAGATTAGTAGGCTACTCTCAGGCCTGTTAGCTCCCACCACCTGTTACACATCAGATGTAACAAACTGGCTGGCAAGAGACTGAGCAGCAGTTTAAACAAACATAAACAAACAACGCGTGTTAAAGAAAGCCACAGAAGGTCAGTCTGAACAGATTTAGAATCAAAACTCATCCTACTGAAATCAACAATCTACATGTTTACCAGAGCTCCGCTGCTCAGCAGGATCATGAAGATGATGAAGGTCTCAAAGTAGTTGTGTTCCACAATGGAGAAGCAGGTTTTCCTAAAGTTGTACCAGACTTTTCCTCGGGGTTGGGATGTGTCTATGTTCAGAAACGGGCAGCGACTATAACACTCTGAGAACACACACACACACACACACACACACACACACACACACACACACACACACACACACACACACACACGCACACGCACAGGCACACGTTAAACCACATGTTGATCAGTTCCCATCAGAACATTTTTAGAAACCATATTCAAACATTTTGTGTGTTTTCTGTTGGTGTGATCACAGCCATGTAACACACTACTCCTCTCAAATGATGTTACCACTACAGCTGCTTCATTGATCACACTGTTCATGATTTCTGTGTGAGTGATTATCTACTGTAAGGAACGTGTTTTGTCTGATTCATTTGTACATATCTAAAGTTTTTGGTCTGAGCTGACACGGTCAGCAAGGTTTTAGACTGTTTTAACATCAAATCATTTAACCCCTTAAAACGCTAGTTTCCGTGTGTGTGTGTGTGTGTGTGTGTGTGTGTGTGTGTGTTGCATACTTTCAGTGTAGCAGTCCTCTGGAGAGTTTTCTTTGTCCTCATCCTCTGGGTCCTGGTGGACCTCATCAGGCTTCTGTACTGTGCTGCAGACAGATATCTTCTCACCCTGAACCAACACAACTGATCAGCTGACCCATGAGTAAAACATTCAGAGCTTCACTAGAACACCTTTTATTGTTCTTGGTCATCAAACTCGAAGACAACAAATTTAAATGAGAAGAAGCAACATTGGAACATTAAGCTTTACTTGCGACAGTTTCTCTTCATCCTCCTCCTCCTCTTCTTCATCTTCAGCCATGTCAGTATCAGACTCAGCCTGGGCAATGGGGACCTTCAGGGATGTGATATTACAGTAGTAGCTGGTCGGATTGTCGTGGCTACCAGTGGAGGGTGGTACTATGGGTTGGTCTGAGGTCACATATGTCAGTGCTAAAACCTCCTTCGTCATGTTGTCATCCTCAGAGTTTACAGCTGAAAAGATTTGTTCAAAAATGACAATGTCATGTAATGATACAAAAAAACTAACGTATTCTGGCCACAAGAGGCAGAGTGGGCTGGGCGACTTTTCGTTAATCCTGTTAAGGGGAATTTTAGCACATGCTGGCTCAAATGAACGATTTAAAATATGGAAAAGTTGCATTTTTTTCCTTTAAGGCTGTAAAGCAAAATGCTTAAAATCTTTCAAAGGATGTGATTCTTTTCTATACCCACTGTAGTTTAGGTTTTTACTGATGTTGCTTCGCTGTCTTAAGGCTTATCCAGATCACATGTTTACTCCGATTGAAACCGTGCCCCTACCGGTGCTGTCAGAGTTCTTTCTGATCTTCTTTCCCATTAGAGAGCAGATGTTGTCCAGAAACCAGGCCTTGATCCAGGCCACACCCCTGTTGATCCTGTTGATGGCAATTTGGAGATTGTTTTCTCCTTCATCTTCTGTAACTGCAAGATTGTCACCACTGAATGAGCTCAACAGCAAGGCCAGGAACAGATTCAGGACCTGAAATGAGGCCAGGGACATAGTTGGGTCCTGAAGAGTCTAGGAACAAGTTAGGAACTGTTAAGGAAACATAGTCCTTAAGGTTAGCCCTTGGTTTCACTTTAATTCCCCCCTCACTAACACACTTCCTGAGAGACTGATTCTGGTTATTGGCAGCTCCCTATGAATAAATGTGGCATAGAGGCACCACCAATCATAATAAAATGCATGCAGATGTCTCAGGTCCTCTCCCTAGCTGGATCAGTAATGCCATGTTTATCTGTATGTCTTTTCCAGGACAGCTCCCAGAAACATGGGGCTTCACATATGTTGTCAAATGTTTTGGGGTAAAACATGGTCTGATTCAATGAGACTCTATCCATCCCACCTTGGATGATGCAGCTCCTCTAACAGCTGAATTGATTAGTTCTTCTAAACAATGATAATTCAGGGTCCAGATCTGGAGGCAGAGTTGTTGTCCTACACATCTCTCTGCGGCTTCTCTGACTTTATCCTCCCAAATGTCCATTAAGACGGTTTTCTCAGCCACGAGCCAAATTAACCAAACATCTAAATCAGTAAATTGTGATAATCTCACAGGAATAAATACTGATATTGTATTTAAACAAATGACCAACCTGTCTTGTCTGCTGCAGTCATTAGGCAAGAGACAGTGGAGTCACATACGTACATCCCTGCTAACAATCAGACTTGATCTGATCTGAACTGAACTTATTGTCCTTTTTGTGTGGGAGTTTCACATAGGTTTACTAGTGAACTGATTGTATATAAAAAACTGAATTGAATTAAACAAGATTAGGACCTAAAATAAGGCAAGTAACAATCTGACATTTAATCCATACCCAGAACCCCTGAGTGCAGCTTTCAGACCAGAACTTATTTAAGCTGGGTAACCCTGATTTATCCAGACATGAGTCAAAATCTAACCGGACTCACCACAAGGTTTCCAATAACCAGAACCATCATGAAGACAATCAGACACATTGCCTGACCCGAGACTTCCATGCAGTCCCACATGGTTTCTATCCATTCGCCACATAAGATCCTGAAGATGATGAGGAAGGAGTGAAAAAAGTCATTCATGTGCCAGCGAGGAAGCTCACAGCTTTCTGAAATTCGACAGACACAGTCTTCATAGTTCTTGCCAAACAGCTGCATGCCAACAACAGCGAAGATGAAAACAATGATGGCAAGAACCAGCGTCAGGTTCCCCAGAGCGCCCACAGAGTTCCCGATGATCTTTATTAACATGTTGAGGGTCGGCCACGATTTGGCTAGCTTAAACACTCGCATCTGGACATGAGACAGTGAGGCAGGAGAGAAAACGCTGTTATGCAGCTATTATGTCACTGTTAGCCACATGACTCAATACTAAAAATGTACTGACCAATCGAAAGGAGCGTAGCACAGACAGACCCTGGACATCGGCTAATCCCAACTCAACCAGACTCATGGTGACAATGATGCTATCAAATATGTTCCATCCGACCTGTAGTCATGGCAACAAAAAGGCCTTGTTATCCTTGACAATAGTTTTGGTTAGATTTTACCTCTGAAACAGGAACTCTTACCTGGAAGTAGTTATATGGATCCATTGCAAGCAGTTTGAGGACCATCTCAGCTGTAAAGATTCCTGTGAAGACCTGAAGTTCAGAGGTCATGGGTCAAGCTCATGTGGCAAAACTGCACTAATAACAATTCCTAACACTTGAACATTAATGCAGGAGATTAATCTTGATTTTTGTTCTGGTGAGTGTGTTAGAAGTGATTACATACATATAAGATGATAATTCATCATCAACAAAATACAAGTGTGAGTTCATCGAGGTCTGAAGCCATCATAGCAGTTTCATCATCACAATACAGGACAACCTTTTAGTCTATTCACTGATCTTTATGAGTTCTGCAGCTTAAATATTTTAATTCATATTACATAATGCATCTAGTTTATACTGCAGTTAAGAAAATGTAATGGTAAATTGAGACAGGACTGGATAAGCCATTGCAACCATAACTTTTCAAAAGCTCTTTGTGGGAAATTTTGCTTTTAACATGTTTTTTCCCCTAGTGTTTGATGTGTTGTAGTTTTAAGTGTTCGAAATAAAGCAAATAAATGAAATTAAATGCACCCTAACCCTTAACCATGGCCTTCTCCCGCCCCTTATGCCACAAACAGCATCAACACTATCATGATAATGGTTCACTGATTAAACTTCTTTGGTTTTCTTTCAAAGTTTCGTTTAAAATTCAATTATTATCATTATTAAATGAAAAATAATTTGGTAACTTTATGTTTCGCTCCTCTGCCACTGACCAGGTTTCCAATGACCAATAGCTCATCAAATTCCTCCGACATTGGGTAATGCTCCATGGCCATGAAGACAGTGTTGAGCACGATGCAGATGGTGATGGCAAGATCAACAAAGGGGTCCATCACAAAGGTGTAGAGCAGCTTTTTTACCGATATCCAACAGCCACAACAGTTCCACTTCAGGAAGATGTCAGCAAAAGCATACCACCATGGAGGGCATGACCTCTGATCATCCTCAAACTCTGAAAAATAAAACTGCTTAGTAAAACAAGCTGCAAAACCATCACGGCTGACAAAAAATTAAGAAGAAAATAAAAATATAAAAAAGAAGTGGTCACATTGACCCTACGATGGCCGCTTATCGGGGTCGTGTCGCGGGGGCAGCAGTCTAAAGACTAATTTATACTTCTCTGTCAGCTCCATGAGGGAGAAACACGCACGCACGCACAGATAGAGATGTTTCGCTCTCTGACTTCGTCTCCTGGGGATTGTTGCAAAGCAATTCCTTGCAGGACAACAGAGGGCGAAGTGCTGTTCTGTGGTATCTTGTCATGTATCCGGTCCAAAATAGTGCATTTTTTATTGTGTTTATATTGTGGTTTTTGTTTTTCAGCGACATTTTAACAGGGAAAAATTTGTCCCTCATTCTCCTCCACCTCTTCATGCGCTCTCCACCTCTAAACCTACTTTTTCCATCATTTTCGTCCACGAATAAAATGCTTGCTGCGCATCTTTTAACTCCTCCAGTCATGGGTGAAATTTTCCACGAGGTATTCTTCAATCTGCTCCGTGTCTGCTGCTAGATATCTTCTTCCCTCTTTAAGTTTTCGAGGGCGCAATGGTGGAGCTGTCGATGACAACGGCATCCTGACCAATCACAAGCTTGCGTTCTTTGGCTCGTTGGATGGATGTTTAGAAAAGAGAGCTCGACTCCGTCCGTCCTTGCGAGCCTGCTGGAGAGCCCTGGAAAGGACGGAAAATGGCGTCCCAACACAGACGGAGAAGTACAAATTAGGCTGAAGCAGGGAGGCCCAGACTTCCCTTTCCCCAGCCACTCGGACCAGCTCCTCCGGGGGATTCCCAAAGCCTAATTAATACTTCACCATCTGCGTCGGAATAGACGCACGCAATGCCATTATCCGTCCTAACAACTAATTAGTAAGAAAAGAGCTTCAGCAGAACCAGATTTGGTGGCCTTCTGTCTTTAAACTGACTCGTGGCTTAAAGGAAGGACTGGGCCAGGGTTAATGAGGTCAGTAGGACCTACTTACCATCCATGGCAATGTGCTCCTGTTCATGGCTCTTTGTTGCTGAATTCTTTTGTGAAATGGAATCTTGTTTTTCAGAGAGCGCCGCCCTGAGGGCTGCCTGCTGTAAAGACACAACAAACATTCAGTTTGATGTCCGAGGAACACTGTAGATGGTTTCACCCTTCATAACGAACCTCCTCTTCTCTTTTCTTCAGTGCCTCCAAGATCTGAGCATACTCCTCTTCCTTCTGAATGGCTTCAGCAATGGTGGCTTCATTCTGCTCGGCATACGCCATGGCAACCACAGCTAGGATCAAGTTGACAAGGTAGAATGAACCAAGGAAGATGACAACCACGAAGAAGATCATGTATGTTTTCCCCGCTGCACGAAGAGTCTGCAGAGAAACATGAGCAAAGACCGCAAAGAGGAGGAGAGCTGTTAAATCGTCATCGCATGTTTTCACCTCGCTTCTTTCCCTGTGCGTCTGGCTTAGGACCTCAACTTATCTTGAGCACAAAAAAATGCACTTGATTTCTGCTCCAACTCATGTGCAAAATTTGCACCAACTATGTCTTCATTCACAGCTCCAGCAAACCTTTTTATTATAGACCCCTTACCATCGAGCTCAGTTGGTGTGAGCAGTTTGTATTACTTGTGCATCAGAGAGTGAACTTAAAATGACATTCCACCACAAACAGCTGGCTCATCTCTGAGGCATATGTCTCCATTTGACAGATGGTGAGCACCCACAAAATCTGTACTAATCATTTAGTGAACCAAAGCCCATGTAACACCTAACAATAGTGATTCAAATGTTTTCTTGTCATAAACATCGATTGTTCACACGTTTATAACACTTAATAGCATCTTCAATGTTGATTTGAGTCAAGCGAAGATTTTACACCGTGTTGAAGCAGTTATGATGGTCAATCACCTCAGTTTATCTAAAATGAAAGATCACTGAGAACATGCTGCTGGGGTCAGTTTAATACTGACCAGTTGGAACAGGTTCTCCCAGAAGTCCTGGGTCATGAGTCTGAACAGAGACAGAAAGGCCCAACCGAAGGAGTCGTAGCTGGTGTAGCCGTAGTTTGGGTTTCTCCCCGCCTTCATACAAATATAGCCATCTGGACAAACTCTGAAACAATCATCAGGATCATCCTCATCTTCATAATCAACAACAGCAACAACAACAATAATAATGTTTATTTGTAGGTACCCAGCATCAGAGCCGTTTCCACACACCAGAGCATCGAGTGCGCCCGGCAGGTAGTAATGGTTTGCTGTTGGACAGAAAAGCAAACTTTAAACGACTATTTCAGAAAGCAGATGAAATCCAAACATCCTAAACTCTCATCTACCTGGGTTGGTAATGTGTTCATAGAAGTTGAAGTCAGTGCTGTTGTCATTATAGGTGTCGTTGCCATAGAAACTGCTGTTGAGAGCTCCAGCTGATGTGTGGTTGTTTAGTGGTGGAATCAGAACACATTTTTGTCTCAAGTTTCCCATGAAAAGCTGAAGACCAATCAGAGCAAAGACACTGAGGCAGAACACAGTCAGAATCATGACATCACCCAGCTTCTTCACTGATTGGATGAGAGCTCCAACGATTGTCTTCAAACCTGCAGAGAAGCAGTTTTAGGACCAACTAACCAACATGGACTGTTTCTGTCAGGGCAAACAATAAGTAAACTAATGCAACACGCTGATAGCGTAGGATTTTATAATTATACCTTTCAGATAATGTATATTATATAATCTGGTAAGACCATTGAAGCAGGTTGTTGGGCAGAATTTGTGTCCAAAAGGACATCTGTGTGATATTTCTAACTAAAAGAATAAATATTAACCTGTTTCCTTAACTAAACAAACAAAGTATTTTTTTAGTATCATCAACTAAACATGAGTGCTGTAGCCTCGATTAGTACAATTCTCAACAAATGTTTTTAGAAAAGCCATAATGGCATTAAAAACAGAAGATCCAAAAACTGACCAGGAATGACTGTGATGGTTTTCAGGGCTCGAAGAACTCTGAAGGTCCGCAGTGCAGAAACATTTCCTAAGTCTACAAACTCGGTCAGATATCTGCAAAATAGATACAAATATACCTTGTCATTAACGCCACCATCTTTTTGTGTCACTATAGTGATGGAAAACAAAAATGACAAACAAAATTGTTTTCATGCCTTCATTGGAGTTTGTTAAACAAGGATCAATAATCATTTGGTCCAATCAGAAGATTTACACCGGCTAGTGCAGCGTGGGTCCAGAAGCAAACCTCTGGAAAGTTTCAACATGGACTCTGGGTTTTCCAGATGCCATGTGCAAATCATCATGGAGGTAAAGGAATTCCATGAGTCAGACAGGAAGTGAAACGTGTTTCAGCAAAGAGCATCTGGTTTATTTCAAAATAAAACCTGTGTTGTTTTATTTCTGTTGGCTTTTGTTTTATTATTAATGATGGAGACAATTCACAGTGTACCATAGCTCACGTTATTTTTACAGGTACTTTAAATGTGTTGTGTCACATTTCTAATCAGTTGGTGCTTTTGTGGGAGCAGATATCTGGAGACCTTCAGAACATGAACCAAAGTCAGTGTGAATAGCAGTCCTACGGAAACCCGGCCGCCTCTGTACCACATTCTGTCTGTGTGAAACAGGCTTAAGAGTGATTCAAATACATAGATGGAGGATAACCAAACTAGACTGGAGAAGGAAGATCAGGCCACCCTCATGGAGACATGACAGGGACACTAGCTGGTTGAGTCTTGGCTCAATGATATTTTCTTCTTCTTCTTCTCCTGGGGTCGGGCCGAGCTCACCCATTTTGCATTGAAACATATTCTGATTCTGAAGAAGGAAACCTTTGAGGCTGGGTTGTCTCAATTGATCTCTCAAGCAACTGAGGTACAAACTTACTGGAAGGACAGCAGCTTCAGTGGATGCAGTAGCAGAAACCCATGCACAGGAGGAATTCAATATATCAAATAATCATGTTTTCAACTAAACTAAGAGTTCTGTTCCCTCTGCTGTAGGTTCAACAGCTGTTAGTTTTTGTTCATTGTGACCATTAATTTCTAATAGATTATTACGCCATGCTGATGACCATGAAGTCCAGCCAGTTCCAGGGGTCTCTGAGAAAGGTGAAGTCTCCCACACAGAATCCTCTAGACAAAACTTTGATGGTTGCTTCAAACGTGTAGATGGCCGTGAACACGTATCTGTTTAGGAACAGAAAGACATGGTTGAACAAACAAAACGTATGAACAGAGAAATGCTTCGTCTCTTTCACACCAGTCAGAGGTTAGAGAGCACGAGTCACAGTGATCTTCTGTGTGTTCCTGTGTTCTGTTGTTCCCAAACAGCAGACAACAGCCTCAGTCATCTTCACTGCTGATTGTTTCCAGATGTGAGTCACATAACTGCTCTATGAGTCTTTCTCTGTCTTGTGTGTGTGTGTGTGTGTGTGTGTGTGTGCATGCGTGTGCACTCACTCAACCGTCTTGCTCCATGCTGGAGGATCACTCATCGTCATGAACACACAGTTGGTCAAAATTGTCACCATGATGAACAAACTGAATAAAGTTTTAGCTTTAAGGAATCCAAACAGTCAGATGATCAATGATCACTATCTATCTGAACAGTTCCTCCTGCATTCAGAGAGTCTTTGTCAGTGTCTTCTAGTTTGATTTAAAGTAGCTTTCCAAAGTTTTCTCCACTCAGAATTTATGTATGATTTTCAGAAATCCGTAAAAGTGATTATCTGTGATATAATGTAAGCAATACGTCTATTTTTTTTGCTAAGCACACCCCCTGCCCCGCAGAGCTCCGTGCAATAGGAAAATGAGCACAGAACAGAACTAACCAATAGTGTTAGTCTACAGCTTACATGCTTCAAATTTAGGGAATACCTCGGCTAACACAGATTTGAAGAACTTTTCACGGTCAAGTAAGTCTTAAAAATATAAATATATGAAAACACAACATGGCCTGAGAATAGTACTTGTAAAACAACGTGTTTTAGCTCTGTTTGTCAGCTACAGACGCACATTTATAAACAAGAAACATGAAATCACCACTTTAAAAAAATGGAGCAAGAGGCTATTTGTGTGGTATGCTTTTCAGCCACTAGATGGTGCCATCTGATAAGAAAAATACTCCGAAAAAGACTAAATGGATCAGGTCAAACTTGTGTTTGTCAGTTTTGTCACTGATCTGATTCTGTCCCAGGTCAAAGAAGAAACCCTCCAATTATCACATCACAATAAACTAGTCCAGCTTTCTATCCAGCCTTTCTGTGACCAGCTTGTGAAGTCCTGATTCTAAGACCTACAGCTCTAGGTAAGAAAACCTTTTTGTCTTACTGACTGTGGCAAAACGTCGTATTAAGATTGTTCAGTGAGAACTTCTGAATTCTGATGAAGTCTGATGAAAACAAAGAATGAGAACCGCTCATACAGATGACTGTTGTGTTATATTTGGGTTTTTTACTTTGTTGGAGCAGCAGGACTAAATAATTATCAGTTGAAGCCAGACCCAAGTTTCTCCTGAACCACACAGGCAGCCCAGAGTGGTCTGTGGTTTTAGGGCTTTATGCAGCTTTAAAGTTTGTGTAATTGCCTTTCTATACTTTTTATCATTCTTTTTTTTCATGTTGTTTATTTCCTGTTTTGAGTTCATGTTCAGTAATCTTCTGCTTTCTTTTTATACCTCCTCATTAAAGCTTTAATCATCAATATGTTTGTTGCTTTTTGGGTTTTCTGTGTTTGCACTTGAGTTATGCTGGTGAAGGTTCTGGTGAACGCCTTTACTATTTCACTTCAGTTTGAAAACTCCGATCAGTCTTCCTTGTTTTTTGCAGCTTAAGTTTGTCTGACAGCTGGTGACATATATCTTGATACCATGTTCCTCTATTGCTACTTGAACTTTATTCCAAAATGAAGCTTAGCATGGAAATCATTTCTCAGTTTAGGACAACCAGAAGTGACACTGAGTCACTGAAACCACTTTTCTACAGTAAAGCTCACAGCATTGGTTTGGTACATTGGCATTATCCTGATCCAGTTCATAACAGAGGAGGTAAAAGAAATTTAAAAAAAAAATCAAAGATTTGAAGCTCTAACTGAACCAGAACTGAAATCAGTTCAGAAAATTGGTATGAAAAATATTTCTAAATAAAGCCTTCTACTAAACAAGCGTCAGCAAAATAATAAAGCTTGCCACATTTAAAACATTTTCAAACCGAAGTGAGATATTTAAGGATATGAATGGATGAGTATTCTTATAGCAAACATCCTTAGAGGGCTGAATGGGCTGAGCAGGTAACAGGCAGGTTCAGCATTAAACCTGTAGATGACGTTTCCTTTGCCAAGCACAATGAAGGTCTGCAGAGAGACAGAAGAAAGACAAATGGAATGGAATCACACGCCTCTGCAGATTTTCTGAAATAAAACACGTGTTTTTGTATTATGTGGAGTGTGTCTTTTTCTTTTTCTAGGCCTCGGGAAGACTGTGATGACAGCTGACACTTGAAGGTACCAGTGTTAATGCTTTTATGAACTTTGACTCTTTAAATCAGAGGTCTCCAGCCAGAAGCACCCAGTGAAGTAGCTTAATTCTCCAAAATGCATTGGTTGCCAAACCTGTTCAAGGTTGCGTAGAACAGTGGTTACCAGTGTTGGGGTCGGGACCCCACTGTGGGTCGCCAAGAGCTAAACAGATGAGATGATTTCCAGAAATAGAAATAAAACTGAAAAACAATTGCTGAAGCTTCGTTAAAAGTCCTTGTTATGTTCTTTCTGGTTCTTTTCTAATTCCACTGGTTTTCTTGCTACTCTGTGTGTTAGATGAGAACAAAAATTCACTAGTTTCAGTTGGTTTGCTTCTTAAATGTTCTTGCATTGAAGTACACGACCACTCCTTGCTGATCACTGTGTGAGGTGTTGATCAGTATGCAGGGTGAGCTGGAAATGCGTTGCATTAATGAACGAAAAACCTTCTGTGATTGGTAGAAAGGATCCAACTCCTCCACCGCAGTGTTGAGAAACTCTGGAGGTGGGTCTCCAAAAATGAAGGGGAGGCGTTTGCCAGCCTCCAGGTCATTGGCTGGTTTAGGAAGATCTTCCTCTGCTATCTGCCGTAGAGAATACACTCAAATCAGGTTTAAGGCAATCAGCACATTCTTGCCATCAATTAATACGGTTACTGGAAGCTGTTGGGTTCATTAGTACCTCAATGTTCTTCTCTTTCCTCCTTTGTTGTTCTTTAATTTCAGCTTCATGCCTTTTTGAGATTTCTTCTAGTGAGGCTGGAGTGAAGTGTCTGAACACCTCCGCACCAACAGGAGGCAGCAGAGGTGCCATCTTGGCATTGTGGAGCGCCTGTCGCCCTTCTGTACTGGCTATCAATTGCTTCCTGCAGAGTTTTAGGAAAAGGAAGTAGAAGAGCTTTCATTTAGGTGTCTTAAGTGATTAAAACTTAAATAAATACCTTTTGAAGAACATGTCAGAGCTTTTAATTTATTCATTTGCTAAGTCTCCTCCCCTTCTTGGCGGCTCATGGGTCTTTTGACCGAAAAACAAAATGAGTAAGTCAACCTGCCTCTAAAAGTTATTTTCTAATCCACTTTGTCTTGCACCCTGATCACACATATGTTGTATTTGACTATATCTGTCACATAATTTGAGCTTCATTAGCTTGTGAAGATGAAAGACTACAAATCACAAGTCCTATATATGGCATCACCACAGAATCTCTTCTCCCTCAGCTACATACCACGTGGCGTGATTTATAATGGCTTTCTCCACATTTTAAGCACCTATTTTCCTCCTGGAAGAAAGATGCAAATCACACCAACTTCACAGCCATGTTTCTTCCTCTTTTCCTCCTTGTGTATTTTGATGACGTAAATTTGGTGAGACGAGCAGTTGGAGTCCACTACTCGTTTTCACTCAAAACCTAAAGTAACTTTCTCGGTATGGAAATGTGTCTTTAAAATTCATGGACATCATGTGTAAAATCTATGGCACATATCAGACAGGATCAGAAAATAACTTATTGTCCCTTAGACTCCCATTGTTTATTTTATTTTTTATTTTTTTGGTAGTCCTTTACAAAACAGCCAACCAGACAGGCAAAGTGCTTTACAAACCTCATTAAAAACAAAACAGAGACTAAATAAAAGAAGTGATATATAGTAGGGTAACATTTATTTAGTTAGTCTCCAACTGTGCATGTTGTCCCTAAAAAGATAAGAGACGCCTGTAGTTCTCATCAAAGGTACACCTCAGCTATGAGCGACAAAATAAGAATAAATAAATCTAGAAAAGTCTCATTGTCTGATTTTTAAATAATTTATTTGCAAATTATGTTGAAAAAAATATTTAGTAAATAAAAAAGTCCATCTGATTATTTTGTCACATACCCTTTTTGTTGGCAATGATAGAAGTCAAATGTTTTCTGTAAGACTTCACGTTTTCATACACTGTTGCAGGTATTTTGGCCCTTTCCTCCATGCAGATCCCCTCTAGAGCAGAAAGATTTTCTATGGGGATGAGACCTGGAGACTGGCTAGGCCACTTCAGGGGCCTCATTTATCAAACGTTCATAGAGACGTTCCTATATCCTACAAATGGAATTTAGAATGTTTGTACGAACAGCCAAAAGTTTGATTTATGAAACATGCGGTGGCCTCTTGTACGCACGTTCCTCCGCAATCAGCTGTTGATAAATCCCACCTGTGCGTACTCAGGTGCTGGTGCCTGTTGACAATAATTTGAATAGAGAAATGCCCTCAATTAACCATATTTGGTCACACTATGTCCTCGGGACATGAGGGAATTCCCTGTTTTTTTTTCCCCCAGAAAAAATAAGAACTTTATCGACAACGAGATTGAAAAACTGGCAGCCGAAGTGCAAAAACGACAAACAAGTTACAAAAACGTGGTCAGGACAGAGGAGAGGTTCCTGTCAGAAATAAATATAAAAATGGATTTAATAAATCGTAGACGAGCCACGGCACACCATCATCTCCTCCATAACTCCACCAATCAGACACACCACAGTCATTTACAGCAGACCGTTGTGATTACTGGGCTACAGTACCGGTCTCCAGGTTCTGATCATAGAGTCAGAGTCAGGGTTAACCCTAGCCCTGACCCTGCAGCTGGTTATTGCTGTTCGATGGGACAAGTGTAAAGCAAAGTTAGTTTTGTGTTATTTGTTCAAATGAAACTCACACACGTGAAGCTCCCGGCTGACTGGCTCTCTTCAGAATAGCTCCTCTCTCCTTGTTGCTCCTCCAGTAGTCGAGAATCATTTTTTTCCTGAACATTGTTGCTGGTTTCCCTGTTCCCACCTGTTCTACCTGGTTCTACCTGGTTCTAGTGTTTCTGCTCGAATGTGCCTCTGCCTCGTTCGCTTCTTCTGCTCTTGTGAAATCTTCGTTTCTACTGACAGACTTCTTTCTCCATTGGCATTTCCATCATTACAGTGCAGTGCTCAGACGAAAACAGGAAATCAAACAAAGAACTTTTTTTTAATGAGAATTTTAGATTTCTGTTCATTTTTGAATAAAAAGCACTTTGTTTGACTGCCAGCATTCATCTCTCAGACACAGTGAGTGCTAAATGTAAGCGATCTGTTGATGACAGGATGTGGAGTCTGGACTCAATGACTCATCTCTTCTAGTGGGAAACTACAGGGTCACTCGGTGATCAAAAGTTAAAGATGAATTGAGAGGACAGCTGCTGCTTTGTGGGACTCTGCATTCTGCTGTGGTTGAACTTTTACACAACAAATTGGGGTTAAAAACAAGTGAAAGGCCTGTTGCCCCGCTACCTCTTCTCATGTCGGCTGTATCTGTAACTAAACAGTTACCGCAACTGACCACAAGGACCACAATCATGAACACTTGAGCAACGACTGTCCAAGGAGATGAAAAGATGTGAAAGGACACAGCAGGAAATGTATATTACAGAGTATTTTTGTATTTCTGTGTGTCCTATTGGTTTCTTCTACTTGTGCCAGCTCCTGGCACAAGGGTCAGGGTCAGTCCCCTTGGGAAATCCTAAGGGGACTACAAGTCAACAAACTTCTACTTTGTGTTACAAAACAATGATGCATATTAGCTCTTATAGCACACTGAGGAAGCAACACTCACACCGTGATCAGAGAGTTTTTGTTGCAGAAAGAAAATCTGATAACTAGTAAATGTGACTCCCCCTGGTGCTAAGTAAAAAGTTAGCATGCAAATTGTTTACTCAGTGGTTCAAAGGTCAGACCAGAGCCTGAGTGAAATGCTGTGCCAAATGTCAAGAAGAGTGGGACAGCACTCTGAACATCTGAGAGTTATGACTTGTCCTATGATGACTTCAAATTCAAAGATACTTTATTAATCCCAGAGGGAAATTAGAGTTTCAGTACACACAATTCTGAGATCAGACACACATACAGGCATATGCACATGACAAGAATCGGTGACTGTGGTCATTTGCAACCCGAGTCGCGCTACCTTAATAGAGATCAGAGGGGTTTACATGAGGATTGAGTCAGGTGGAGGGAAAAAAAAGGCGCTTCAGAGTTACCCTCCGCAGGGAGGGCAGCTTTGCTATGCAAAAAACACCTCAGACAGAAATGCAACAGACTTCCGACATTACACAACATAAGTGTCCACTAGGTGGGGAGGTAGGTTTGGGGACTCTCCACACATCAGTGCATGCAGCCGTGATAAGCAGCGCTCGTCACCTCCATTTGGACAGGGGAGGGAGGTTGTTGGGTTAAGAAAGCGCAGTGACTCCCGGAAGCGATTCAATGGTCTTCACCGGTCGCAGTCCTGCCTAGGCTGGGATAGGGAGACATAGTTGCCATGGCAACGGCAGCATTCCACATTTCTTCTGAGGGGGAGTATTCACTTCAGCCTCACAGGCTCAAGGGCACCAGATTCAGATAAGAACGTGTTTTGGGGCCAGAGATAATTTCCTCTCTGTCTTTAAGTTTGGTTGGTCCTCAACCCCTCTAAATCCAATAATGGCATAATTAATCTATCCCAATCCATGCTGATACGTCAACTTTCTCCTTGATCAAATCCACCTTCTGAGCCAGAGTCTGAATCTCAGCCAAAGTTCCAAGCTTACGACTCATCTCGACAATTATATGAGTTTGTGCGTTCGCAGCGCGGTGTAATCCATCCCTGAGCTCCGGGATTGAGCCAATATTCCTCGACAGCTCATTAATTTTCTGGTAAGCCAGGTACCAGCTCAGGCCAAAAAGCAAGAAACCTGACACCAACACCACGAATGTCCAGACATCTTCAGAATCCTCTACAGACTTCTGTGCTCAAAAGATTATTTGTTTCTTGCACATAATGAAATGTGAGACATATTTTTAACAAACAGGGCAAATACAAATGTTTGGGTTGGGAGTTCAAATCCTGAGTGCTCAGTAATCACTGAACGCTGGCTAAAGAAGTCTGTATCTTACCCGGAGTTGCGGTTATAATCTGTTAGACAGGACAGGTCTTCTAAAGGTGGAGGTATGACGATTTAGAATAAAGAACACCTTGAGTGTGCAGTTGCTTCAACCAAGCCCGCTCCAAAGCTATTTGACTTGCTTATTCTAAACATTGAATTTTCAAACAATGGAACCTTATTTGTGGCTGAAAGCTGTTGTCCTCCATCAGCTCCTGCCTGCACTTTAGTGACACTGGTTGGTGCACTGGCGCCATTTCCCAAAACAGTTATCCAACAATTCAGTGCATTGAATTTACAGCCAATCATTTTTTCTCTCTAACTCACTCTAACATTGGTCACTCAGAAAGCGTGTGGTCCTCATTTATTCCTGTTACTGTGGAGGACATAAAAGCTGCTCTGGAAAAAATGAGGCCTTCTTCCTGCCCATTAGATGTAGTCCCCTCATCACTGCTCTTGAAAGTTTGGGATGTTGTTGGTCCACACATCGCCAAACTTTTTAACATTTTGCTTTCTACTGGGTCAGTTCCAAGCTACTTCAAACAAGCAGCCTTAAGCCCTATTTTGAAAAAGCCCAATTTGGACCCATCGGAACCTGGCAACTATGGGCCAATTTCAAAACTCCCTTTTTTGGCTAAAGTTCTGGAGAAGTTGGTGGCAGGGCAGCTGACTACTTTTCTGGACCTTAACAATTTTTTAGATAAGTTCCAATCAAGCTTTCGTAAGATGCATTCCACTGAAACAGCACTGTTAAAGGTATCTAATGATGTACGGATGGCGGCAGACTCTGGCCAATATACTGTACTGGTTTCATTGGATTTGTCTTCAGCTTTTGACACGGTTGACCATAAAATTCTGTTACATCGACTTCACAATGACTTAGGATTTTCTGGTACGGTAGCACCGGTTTTATCTTCTTTACATTGGCTACCGGTCAAGTAGGGCTGGGGGTAAACGATTATTTTTAAAACGATTATTCTGACGATTATTTTATCGAATAGTCGACTATTCTAATGACTATTTAGAAAATTAATCTAATGATTATTTTTCTATTGCACAATTAACAAAAACCAGAAAATCTCAAATAAATTCCTCAAAAAAAATGATAAATTATTACTGTAAGAGAATAAACACTACAGGCCTTCCATTTTGTATAACACTGCTTTTATTGTGTTGCGGTTGGTTATGTTCTGGCGACATGTAGATCTTGGGAGTGCAGGCTGCTGCCTGAGAGGTGGTAGAAGATGGAGTGTCTCCATGCTGCTTTGTTTTGGTCACTTATGTGCGGGAGGCGAGTGGTGTTACGACTCTTCCTGGGGAGTTTGGCTCGTGTGCAAAAAGGAAGGGACAATAACGGGATTTAAAAGTTAAAATGATGATCAGGTTTATTTACAACAACAAAAATCATAAATCTTTCCATCCACAGGTTGGGAATAATAAAACTAATTCTGCCTGTGGGGAATTAAAACAAAAGTACAAATAAGTAGGGATCCAAACTCTAAACTGGGTGGTTAAACCAAACTCAAGGTGATATTTTACACTAAACCGAAAACCCACAACACTCTAAATGTAATAAAAGGGAGATCTGCACCACAAAAAAGATGAACTCTAAACCAAAACGTAACAGCTTATCCCAACGCAAGAAGCTGTTAGCGAAGATGCTAACAGTAGCTTTACCAACGTTAAGTTCAAGTTACCAAGTTTAAATAAACCTAAAACACCCAGCAGCAAACAGACCAGCACGGAGGAGAGACTGCTACCACCAAAACAGCTCTCCTAATGTCCGAAAGAAGCTCCTTTATGAAGGGAGAAACGCTCCCGGTGATTTTCTACATCTGCGGTAGACACGAAGCAGCGCATCTGACCCCGGAAGTTGTTGTCCGTTGCCGGGAGACGAAGGCGGGCAAAACAGGAAAGGAATCCAGTAGTGGACGGACGTTGTTCCGGGTCTTCGGTATTTGGCGGAGATGTTAGTGAAGGCGGAGAAGAGGGCGAACTAGAGGAAAAACAGGCAGATTCCTCCTCTATTTACAAACTCCTGGGGATGCAACAAGTGGGCGCGGTGCGTCGACTTCCGGATCTGACGTCGACAAATTTTTAGAATCGAGCCGTCAACGTCGTCGAGGCTTCGCTACAGCCCTACGGTCAAGTTTAGAATTGATTTTAAAATTTTAGTTTAGACTTTTAGAGCTCTTAATGGACACGCTCCACAATATTTATCAGACCTTTTAATCCCTCACTCTTCTGGCCACACTCTATGGTCCTTGGGTCAAAACCTACTGAAGGTCCCTAAGACCAGATTTAAAACTAGAGGGGACCTGTCCTTTCAAGCTGTAGCTCCCAGACTTTGGAACGCCCTGCCCTTGTTTCTTCGTGTGGCCGACTCTGTTGAAACTTTTAAAAAGCAGCTGAAGACACTTTTATTTAGAGAAGCTTTTATGTGAGTTGACCTTGTGCTCCTGTCCTGTTTTGCCTTTTTATGTATGTTGTGAAGCACTTTGTGATTTTATCTGTGAAAAGTGCTATATAAATAACGTTTTACTTACTTACTTACTTACTTACTTACTTACTTCTCCCACCAGGTCTGACACCAAAACCTCAGACAAGGCATCTCTGATATTATCTTAACAAGCTCCCCTCACAAGTGTTTTGAGCAGCTATCTGTGACCGCTGTACTGCGTCCATAAGGACTATGAAGTACTTGGCTTGGATTAGTTGTAATGCTCCTCCAACAAAATAATACCTCTTGGTGTAAGGCAGTGTTTTGCAGATCCCTGGCAGGTATACTGACTTTTAGGCCAATCAGAAATAAATCCTTGCAAGATATTCGTAAGACTAAATCTTCCAATTTTCAAACAAAATGCTCTGCTGCTCAAACCCAAAACATTTTGGAAAATGGTAAAATAGCTGGACAATCTTATAATCTGCCTCCCTTACATTATATTAACATTTTAGTATCTGATGAGAGGCATATGTTGGAGCATTTTAAAACGCGTTTTATTAATTCTGGGTGTTCTTTGGTATGGGTTAATCCTGCCATGACAGGTACTAGTCCTTCTGTGCTACTAGGTCTCCA